TTTGGAAAAGCTTATGTAGCTATATGTGTGTATGCTTTTAAAAAGTTGAATATATGAATGAAGATTTCCTGCTGCTGAACCTTTTTTTTTTCTCTAAAAGTTTCAAATCCTAACAGTGATATCAAGAGCCCTTCTTCTTGAGGGATCTGTGAAGGCAAGAAGGCTAAGGTTTTTTCTCCTTCTAAGGTGAGAGTAACATGGCATCCAACAACTTCTTGGGTGCAGGCCCTCCTATGTTTACAGGAGAAAATTATCACATATGGGTGATAAAGATGAAGGCTTATCTCAAAGCTCTTAGTCTATGGGAAACAATTGAAAGTGAAGATGATCCTCTTCCACTTGGACCAAATCCAACAGTTGCACAAATGAAGATTTATGAAGATGCGAAGTCAAGGAAACCCAAGGCTCTCACATGTCTTCATTAAGCACTTTTAGATGTGATTTTCACAAGAATAATGGCATGTGAAACACCTAAAGAAGTATGGGAGAATCTAAAAGAGGAGTTCGATGGAAGTGACAGAGTGAAGACTGTCAAACTCTTAACTCTCAAAAGAGAATTTGAGATGTTAAGGATGAAAGAAGGAGATACTGTGAAAGAGTATTCTGCCAAACTTGTGGAGATTGTAAACAAAGTAAGGTTGTTTGGTGAAACCTTTCCAGATTCAAGGGTGGTGGAGAAGATGATGATAAGCTTACCAGCAAGGTTCGAGTCTAAGATTTCAGCAATAGAAGAATCTTGTGATTTGAAGACTTTATTTGTGGCAGAACTGATCAGCAAGTTGCAAGCTCAAGAACAAAGATCAAGTATAAGAGATGAAGAAGTAGCAGAAGCGACATTTCAAGCACAACATAAAGGCAAACAGCCTATGAAGGGCAATAGAGGGATGGAAGGAGATAAATTAAAAAAGGGAAAACCAAGGAAGGAATCTTCAAAGAGAGGGAAGTTTCCACCTTGCAGCCACTATAAAAGAACCAATCATCAAGAAAAAGACTGTTGGTTCAAAGGAAAGCCACCGATTCAGTGTAGATTTTGTAGAAAGATGGGTCATATTGAGAAAAATTGCAGGGCCAGGCAGAATCAACCACAACAAAACCATGTGCAGCAGGTAAATTTTGTTTAAAAGTTCGAAAATGAAGAAGAAATCTTGTTTATGGCTTCTCATGTAGAAAACACAGCCAACAAATCCTCATGGTTCATAGATAGTGGATGTACGAGTCATATATCACGCAATGAGCTCTTGTTTCACACACTTGGCAAGTCATTCAAAGCTAAAGTTAGGATGGGAAATGGTGAAATGGTTGATGCACATTGAAAGGGTTCAGTTTCCTTTCAGACTACACAAGGTACAAAGTTTATACATGATGTGTTGTATGTTCCTTCTTTAGCATGTAACTTTTTAAGTGTGGCTCAAATGATGTCTAAAGGCTATTCCTTATTTTTTTAAGGACAAACATTGTTTGATTTTTGACTCCGAAGATAGTTTGATTGTTAAAGTAAGAATGGTGGATAAAACTTTTCCTTTAGATGGGAGGTTTGATAGTGCAAATTTTTCAAGTAAGGATGAGTCATGGTTGTGGCACAAAAGATATGGTCATTTTAACTATGCTACTTTAAAGTCTATGTATGAAAAGGGCTTGACTAAGGATTTACCTGAGATTCACTGTCTAAAGAAATTTGTGAGTCATGTCAGATGGGTAAGGTACACAGGAAATCATTTCCTAAAAGTGCTACCTGGAGGACAACTGAAAAACTTGAACTAGTTCACATTGATGTGTGTGGACCTATGCAGGCATCATCTTTGGGACACAATAAATATTTTGTGCTCTTTATTGATGACTTAACAAGGATGACTTGGGTGTATTTTCTGAGTAACAAGTCTCAAGTATTTTCAGTTTTCAAGAAATTTAGAGCTTTTGCGAAAAGACAAAGTGGTTGTAAGCTAAAGGCTTTGAGGTCGGACAATGATGGCGAATACACTTCAAATGAGTTCAATAAGTATTGTGAAGATATGGAGATTGATCACAAGTTGACAGTAAGCTATTCGCCCGAACAAAATGGAGTCTCGGAGAGGAAGAACAGAACAGTAGTTGAAATGGCAAGATGTTTGTTGTTGGAAAAGAAACTGCCACAGAGCTTTTGGGCAGAAGCTATTCATACTTCAATGTATTTGTTAAATAGGCTGCCAACAAAAGCCGTGGATGAAAAGACTCATATTGAGGCATGGAGTGGAATACAACCATCTGCCAAACATCTAAAAGTTTTTGGTTTGATATGCTATTCTCATGTTCCTTCTGTCAAAAGAAGCAAACTTGAACCAAAAGGTGAATTGGGGATCTTTATTGGTTATTCATCACAAGCCAAGGGTTATAGAGTTTTCAACTTGCAAACAAAAAGTATTTCAATCCGAAAAGATGTAGTCGTGGATGAGCATGCTTATTGGAACTAGGATAAGGAGCAAATTGAGAAAGATAATGCAGTTTTTCAGAACTTGAGTCCGCTGCCTGAAATCAAATCATTTGGGTCTGAAACTTTGGAAGAAGACGAAGAATCAGACGGGGAATCCTCACTTGATTCGCCAATTTTGAAGACAAGGTCTCTTTTCGAGATATATGAAAGATGTAATGTTGCAAACTCAGAACCAAATAGCTATCAAGAAGCATCAAGACATGAAGTTTGGATTGAAGCCATGAAGGAGGAGATTGGTATGATAGAAAAGAATGATACTTGGAAGTTGGTTGATAAACCCAAAAACAGAAATATGATCGGGGTGAAGTGGGTTTATAGAACCAAACTTAATCCAGATAGCTCAATTTATAAATACAAAGCAAGCTTTGTTATGAAAGGTTATGCACAAGTTGCAGGTCTGGATTATGGGGACACGTTTGCACATGTTGCACGACATGATACAATAAAGCTGTTATTTGCTTTGGCAGCTCAATCAAATTGGAAGCTGTATCATTTGGATGTGAAATCTGCATTCTTAAATGGACTGTTGCAGGAGGAGATATATGTTGATCAACTAGAAGGCTTTCAAGTTGTAGGAATGGAGGATAAAGTCTACCGACTTCATAAGGCATTGTATGGATTAAAGCAGGATCCTCGAGCATGGTACAGTAAGATTGATGATCATCTCATTCATTGTGGCTTCAAGAAAAGTGAAAATGAAGCCACTTTATATGTGAAGAGGGCTAAAGGAGGAGATGTGTTTGTGGTGTCACTCTATGTTGATGATCTTCTGGTAACATGAAGCAATAAAGCAATGGTGAATCAGTTTATGCAAGAAATGGGGACCAAGTTTGAAATGTCAGATTTGGGTGAAATGAGTTACTTTCTAGGAATGGAGATTTATCAAGCTACTGCTGGAATCTTTATTTCTCAAAGAAAATATGCATAGGATATTCTTAAAAGGTTCAAGATGGAGAGGTGCAAGTCTATACCGACTCCACTGGTTCACAATGAAAAGATTTTGAAGTTTGAAGGAGGTGACAGGGCTGATCCAACAGTTTATAGAAGTTTGATTGGTAGTTTGTTGTATTTGAAGTAACAAGACCCGATCTCATGTTCGCGACAAGTTTACTGTTGAGGCTTATGCAAGGTCCAAGTCAAGTTCATCTTGGTGTTGCTAAACGAACGTTGAGATATATCGAAGGAACTGCTAATTATGGTATTTGGTTTAAAAGGGAAGAGCCAGGGCAACTGATGGGTTATTCAGATAGTGATTGGGCAGGAAGCGTTGATGATATGAAAAGCACTTCTAGATATGCTTTTACACTTGGTTCAGGCATGTTCCTATGGAATTCAAAGAAGCAAGATGCGGTAGCTCAATCTTCTGCAGAAGCAGAACACATCGCCGCTGCTGGTGCAACTAATCAGGCTCTATGGTTAAGAAAGATTCTACGTGATCTGGAGCAAAATGACATTGAAGCTACTGTCATTAAGGTTGACAACAAGTCAGCAATATCTATGGCCAAAAATCCAGTGCAACATGATCGTAGCAAGCATATAAATGTGAAGTTTCACGCTATCAGCAGATTGCAGACATCATGACCAAGGCTCTTCCTAAGGGGAAATTTGAAGTTCTAAGGGCTAAGTTGAGAGTATCCAAGAAAAATCTCAAGGAGGAATGTTAGAAAATGAGATATTTCTAGATGTCTTTTGTTTAATTGTTATTTTCTTAAATATTATGTTAAGTATGTAAAGGAAAGGTAGTCCTTGTTTTATGGAATATGTTTTGTAAGAAAGTCAATAGTGATTGGATATGTATGGTCCTTTACAAACTTTGGAAAAGCTTATGTAGATATATGTGTGTGTGTTTTTAAAAAGCTGAATATATGAATGAAGATTTCCTGCTGCTGAACCTTATCTTTTTTTTTCTCTAAAAGTTTCAAATCCTAACAATTGTAACTCGCCAAAAACCACATGACGAGAAATATATATTCGGCCACTAGGGACATGTAAACATTTATAGCCCTTATGATTTCCACTATACCCTAAGAAAATACATTTTAAGAAGAGAAAAGGCTAGTTTGTGAGAGTTGTAAGGACAAAGGAATGGGAAGCACGTGCAGCCAAAAACTTTCACGAAATGATAATCAAGAACCTTGTTTGAATAACTTCTCATAATCTGAAACATTATTGAGCGAGGATGATGGGCAACAATTTATAGTGTAAACTATTGTAGCAAACACATGATCCCAAAAGATGCGAGGAAGGGAGGCATGCATGGGAGAGAAATGTTAAAACCCATTTCAACAATATGACGATGCTTTCTCTCGGCATTACCATTTTGTTCATGAGTATGGGGACAAGATAAGTGATGAACGATCCCCCCGACCCCGACCTCATCCTCGTCCAGACCTGCCACCATTAGCCTGATTATTATTTTAATTAGTTTGCTTCTTGAATGAATTATCATTGTTAGGATTATTGGATTGTCTAGTAGACAAGTTGGCTTGGCTGCCTAATCCTTGTTCCAAACTTGTCATCTGTTCCAAATGATACTTATGACTTAAAAGAAAGCCATGAAGATCAAACAATGAAATTAAATCCTCTCTAGCAATGAACGAGACAACCACATCATCATATTCTTGTCCAAGTCCTCCAAGAATATATAAGACAAGATCATCATCAGTGACGAGGTGTGTCGCAACACAAGATTATCGGCATAAGTCTTCATCTTTTGAAGATATTCTACCATTGATGAGTTTCCATTCTTTGTGGTTTGTAGTTGCAATCTTAGTTGCATTAACCTAGACTTGGATTGTAACGTAAACATTGTTGCAAGAGACTTCCAACAGTCTGAGATGTCGTATAATTGACTATTTGGGATAAAATCCCTTCGTTGAGGATTGAGAGAATCCAGCTCAATAAAATTTAGTCTTGTTTGATCCATAAATTGTACGCTGGATTGATAACCGCGCCATTTGAGGTTGCTTTGAAAGAGCCATTTGGAATTACCTTGGGAGGGCACATGTGTGTACCTTCGAAAGACTGAGTGACGTTGGTTGCGAATGGATTATGGGAAAGGGTTTGTGAGGTGATAGTGGTAATTGAAGGAAGTGCCATATTGAGATTTGAGTCTTTGTAGGGCTCTGATACCATGTAGAGATTTTATGAATATAATAAATATTGATTGTATTTCACAAAAGAGTTCTTCCTCAATATATTAAGGATGTTACAAAAAGTGTAGTTGAATATAATAACTCTCCAAGAGATGAACTATAAACATGAATTCTAATAGAACCCAATTACTACATAAACGTGTAACCTCACTATTATGATGTCCTAACAATATCATGTGTATGTAACTTGACTTCAATGGTTTATATATAAAGTGCTTTTCATATTTTGAAGTACCCTGTTTTAATATATTTTTCATACATTATACGAAAAAAAATATGTATTGCCAAAATGCATACAAAATTGAAAACTTCATATCAAATACACACCAAAAATAACCACAAGTGAGGTATATAATGTGTATAACTGGACTTAAATAGTTGAATACACAATATAAACACAATTCAGTTTGTATATACAATGAGTATAAATCTAGAATTTTAAGGCACAACTGATATGAATGCAAAATTTCAATCTTCATACCAAAATCATACCAACTTATAATTAATATTTTATTTATATAGTATGTATGTACAAGAGTGTGTTTAAAACAGAAACAAATGACACATCTCAAAAAATCATACTAAATTTAAACCAATAACAAACACAGATTGCATGCTTCATGCCAAATTAATACAAAAAAAGCATACAGTCATTTTTGGTATTCCATGAGTATAAATCTAGAATTTCAAGGTACAACTAATATGAATGCAAAATTGCAATCTTCATACCAAAATCAAACCAACTTATAACTAATATTTTGTATACATAATCTATATGTAAATAGACTTGAATTGTTCAATAAATAATAGGGAAATAATATAATCAACTAATATTGAAAAAAATCATATCTAATTTAGATAACTAATTTATTGTTCAATTAAAAAATCAATCAAAATTAATAACACTACATTCGCAGTTTATGCAAAACACAATAAAAGCAATACGGAGAAAGGCCTAAAATTCCCCTCAACTATTTGAATTGGTATAAAACTATCCCCATCCAATTTTCGACCCTCAAATAACCCTGATGTCAATATTTTGGCTCAAATATAGCTTTGTTTGTAATGGCCCACACTCATAAGCTGGATGGAAGGTAAATTTATATCAAATCTCAAGTTTAAGGGCATCTTAGACTCTTCTCCATTAAAATAATTTTAAATTACTTAATATATGGGCTCATATAATTTGCCTGATTTTGGGTTCCACTGTAAATAAAAAATAAAAAAAAGTAATCATGTACTAATGAGAAATAAAACAATGATGAAAATAGAAGAAAAATAACGATGACATTCATTTATAAATAATTAGTTCAAAAGAAGATGATTTAATTGAGCAACTATATACATATACTACTTTTTTTTTTGTATGTACCAAAAATAAAAAATAAAAGAATAAGAAAACTCTTTTTTCCTATCCACACCATGAAAATAATACAAATTAAAAGAATATGAACATATAAGTTCATTTCAAGTTTGAATTCTTGATATCCTAATTAAGAATAATAGATTAAAAATAGAGGGAATGAACTAGACAATTGGATAATTGATAGAAAATTTTAATTTATATCAATAAAAATAATAATCTTTTCTTAGATGATAATCAAATGGGTAAAGTATGAATTTCAGTTAGATCCCCAGTTATGAGACTGGTTATAATAAATTGGGAGTTAATTTGAAATAGGTCAATCGGAAGATATCATGAGATTAATATTTTTAAAATATTAATTTTTAGTGTATCACGTCAAAATATGAATCATATAACGTTTTTATTATTTATATGAGAAGGACTTAAATTTGGACCAATCATATTAGACATCATAATAAATAAATATTTAATATTTTATGGGAGCTGTTAAAAATAAGGGTAAATATGAGCCGAAGGTTTATATCGAGGGTGTTTTTGAGCCAAAAGGTTTACGTCAAGGGTATTTGGGGGCCAAAAGGTGAATAAAGAGTAATTTTGTACCAACTCAAATAGTTGCGGGGCATTTTAGGCCCTTCTCCAAAAGAAATATGTAATAAAAATTGATTTCTTTAAAATATATTCACAACATGTTTTTTCTTTTTTGTACTTGGAAATTTTTTAATATCCTTCACTCTTGTTCTAGTCTTTTATTTGTGACTTGTGAAATCTTGCCCTTTGATTCTTGTTCAGTGGGGTGTTATTCTTCTTCACATGTGTTTGAGTTAGTAAATCAAAACTTGGTGGCTATATCTCCTCATGTCTTTCTTGTTCAAGGGTTTGTTAGGAGTAAACATGGATTTTAATATTTTAGGCATGATATAAAAATCCAACAGAAAAAAATAAAAATCATATACAAATCACTTCAAGAAAACAAGAAAGACGAAACAAATAAGGTTGAATGTTGGATGATTTTCTTTGAAATCTGGAGAGAGGTTATGGAAGAAGATGGAGATAATTATGTAGGGAGAGAAAATTATGGTTAATTGAGTGTATATGGGGAGAAGTGTGTAAGTTGAATACAAATTTCTTAATGGGAAAATTAAGCAGAAAACAAACATATACTAGTTAATTAGCTAATATAGTTATAGTTTGAATTAATTACGGCTTGCAACTTAATTTTAGCTTTAATTATGTCACTTGTCCTCATTTATACATATACAAATACAAATCTCTCTCTCACACACACAGATATATATATATACAATTAGCCTCTCTCCAATCTTTGACCTTTCTCGCTTGCCTCTCTCCTCTCTCTCCCAATCTTGCTCGACTCTCCTCCCTCTCCCAATCTCTCTTGCCAGATATACAAATACATATGTATATCAGTTATATCTATACAATTATCTGACAGATATACATATACACTTCGCCTTTCTCCACCCACTTCCCTTTCTCGCTCGCCTCTCTCCTCCCTCTCCCGATCTCGCTCGCCTCCCTCCTCCCTCTCCCAATCTCGCTCGCCAGATATACAAATACAATTGTATACTAGTTACATATATACAATTATTTGACATATATACATATACAATTCGACAAATATACATATACAATTCGCCACTCTCCACTCTCTCGCTCGTCTCTCTCCTCCCTATAACATATAGCTACAAATTGTAATTAGCAAACTATAGTTATGGAGCGTAATTAAGCTATTTTTGAGTGGTTAATATGTGAAAGTTCCGTTTCTTAATTGTAGTAATGTATTTGAATAAGAAAAAGACACTCCTCTCTTTTCTCTCAACATTTAATTAACGCTAAAAATTAATAAAATATAATATAATATAATTTAATACAACTTTGTTAATATCTGTAATTAAAATGTTATTAGTAATAAGTATAAAATAATACATTTAAAAATTGTAATATACATTCTTAAATAAATATGTCACGTGATTTTTCCATTTAGTATCATCGTCGATAAATATTAATTAATCTCTTTCGATAATTATATACAGAGTATCCAATTTTTAAATATTACATGTCATTGCATCGTGACTTGTTATAAATACTACAGTCAGAGGCGGACTCACATGCACCCGACAACTTTTAAATTCTTTTCGTATATATGTATAGATAGTCTATAAAATGAAAGTATATTTAATTGTGCATCCTTATAATCAAAAGTAGTTTGGGGGCACTGGTTGAAGTCTCCACTTTAAAGTGCCACAACCTAGGTTCAAAACCTACGAAAGGTAGTATATTTTGGCCTTTAAAATCAGATTTTTCTCAAAAATTAACCTTTCTAAAAATTGTCTTTATTAATTACTCATTTTTGCCACCTCATCTGACCCCACCCTTAACCTTACCCTTGAGTCATTCTTAATCCCCATCCCCCACCCCCCCCCCCCAAATCTTCAAATCTTGGGTTCGCCTCTTACTACAACTTAAAGAAAAAAGTGATAGAAACTTATATTTTTTACTTTTTTTTTTTTTTTGTCTCAATTTATGTTTAAATTTTACTCAACCGAATTTCTTTTTTTTATAATAATTTTTCATATGCCTTTTAATTTTGTTAAGATTTTCAATTATTGTGATTTATAATACTTTCTAAATAAATTTTAAATATATAGATTTTATTTCAAAAAACTTCAAGATTTGATGTCTGTATTCACAATCAAAATTATAAAGTTTAACTTCTGATTTTTTATAAAGTGTCACATAAATGTGGAACACATTGGAGTATAATTTCTTAGAAAATCGTGTATAACGTAATTTAACATATATGTACAATGCATGTGTTGATGGGCTACCATATTAAAAGTGGATGACACTAAGGCCTCATTTGTTTGCACTTAATGGAGAACTGAATCTGAATGTTTCAAATATTGGGCCATAAAGTGCTTTTGTTTTTTTCTTTAAAAAATCACTTAATGGGTTTGAAAGCATCTGATTCATTCAGATATATAAGGGAGACTTATTACTAATCATACACTTTTTATATCGCTAATTTATTTCTCCGTAAATCTCAAACATCATTATTTTCTCCTATATACGTAGTCCCTTCCTCCCGCTCTCTCCATTATCAACATACAATTGTTATTTTTTCTCTTTGTCCTCT